TGTGTGTGTGCATGTGTGTGTGTGCATGTGTGTGTGTGTGCGTGTGTGCGTGTGCGTGTGCGCGTGTGTGTGTGTGTGTGTTCTGTGGTGGGATGGTTCATGGCATGTCTGTGTGTGAGGCGACACAAAGAGGCTTTGTTGGGGAGGCCGGTTAGGTCTGAGAGGAATAAATATCGCTTCCACGTAAAAGTCCTAAAATAAAGCCAAAGATTTCCTCACAGTCTAGATGTTCTTTGTTATCCCACCGATGTAGTTTTGTATACAGTGATGTTATTGTAATCATGCCCAGATTGTCATCTTACATTTGCGTGACGATTGAACTGGGTCGAAAATATAGTTATGATGACATGCTGTGAAATCAGCAGGCCACAGACAGCTGGGCCAGAAAGAAAGTCAAATAAAAGTGCCTTTTACACAGTTATACAATAAACTAAACTAAATCAAATAAAAAAAGATATTAAAAAACTATAAATTAATATAAACTTGGAATAGAAAAAAATAAAGACCCCAAATAAATAAAATAAAAATAAAGACAAAATAAAATAACTAAATAAAACAATTAATTAATTAATTAATTAAAAAATTAATAAAAATATAAATCCTTTTTGTCTTATATGGGTTTGGAAGATTACTTTTAAAATGTATTTCACTACAGATTACAAAGTACATGCTTTACAAAGTAATTTGTGACATATTTCATTAGATTGCTCGAGTTAATAACTTTCCTCTGCATTTTATTTTTAACAACATCAGACAATCTACACAGAAAAAGCATTTAATGTACAAATCAACACCAATTCAATGGCCTGGTTTCACAGACAGGGCTTCGGTTAAGACCGGTGTAGGCCATAGTTCAATTAGGACATTTAAGTGTCTTTTATAAGCGTGCCTTAGAAATAACATTACTGGTGTGCATCTTGAGACAAAACAATGGCACTGACATATTTTAAGATCAGTTAGTGCAAGTTTCTTACAGGTTAAACAGCCCAGACATGCAGTTTAGTCTGAGACTAGAGTTAAGCCTTGTCTGTGAACCCGGGGAATATTCATTAATTGCAATTAAGATCATTAAATGTCATTTAAATACAAATATGTGAGACTGCAGCACAAAAGCAGTGTTAAGTCGCTGGATTATATTTGTAGCAATAGCCAACAATACATTGTATGGGTCACAATTATCGATTTGTCGATACCAAACCATACATCAGTGGAAAGATTATTTATTCAGCTTTCAGGTGATGCATACATCTCAATTTCCAAAAATTGACCCTTATGACTGGTTTTGTGCTCCTGGGTCACAGTATATTCTCAAAGTGTTTATTGGCTGGAGTTGGAGAACCAGCTGTGGCTTCATTAGTTCAGTGTTCTTGTTGGTTTGTGTGCTAGGAGGCCCGCTCGACCTCATGTCCAGACGGGTTGTGGCCGCTGGGACGCGTCAGATCGCAGACTATGTGGTCAAGCAGCTGCAGCCGATCAACTACGGCCGAGACGACCTGACCTGAGTGACCTCTGACCCCATCCTAAGCCTTTTACCTCAGAACACACAATCCTGCCACGTAACATCTGCAGTGTCCTTTAAACGCTACTTTCACATTTGTATCAGTTTAACATCATCTGATTTGTATTTTAAGTCACTAGGAACACTCTAAAGTCACGGCATTCGTTTCATTTCTGGATGAACACAAAGATAAATTGTAATCACTTGGAACCACAACCATATTGAACTTTTTTTATACCTTGTAGTTTACTAAATTGCTTCATCCATGGAAATAATGTTGGCTTGTTAAACACTGGAAGTCGCTTCAGATGCCTTGAAATCGCAGGGATGTTGATGAGGCCAAATTCAGCTGATTTTCCACGCGCACCGTTTGATTTGACATTACAAAATGGAAATATCTGCTTTTGATCAAAGCAAAGCTGCTGGTTATGATTCCTTCAGATATTACAGTAGTGAAATACACACAGCTAATCAGATCATCACTCGGGACTTAAACGGTTATTTTAGATTTAACTGAAGATGACCTAGGTTTCTATGAACAAACACTGCTGAAATCCTTAATTAATCAATAAAAAATATCAAATTGGCTTTTTGAAACATTTTGAGGAAGAAAAAGAATACACTTATCTTGTTTTACACACGTTTAGGATTTTTTTCTCTCTACTGGAATACATGACAAACAAATATTGATTAATAAAAAATGCAGTGAAGAAACCGAGAAATCTGATTCTACGTGTCCATACGTGATTTGATCGTATGCAGAAGCTGAAATTGTTAATTTCTCAATCGAGACCTCTAAAATACATCACGTCGTAAACGAAGCAAATACAAGTTTCCAGACACACTGCAGGTTTAACCTGTATTTTACATTTGTATGTGTTTTAATGCTGGATGATCTGCAGATCTAATAGTTGTATAAATACAGGGAGATTTGAGTTTCCTGCTGTGTTGATCTTGATGAGATCCACTTTCTAATGCCCGTGTATGAATTCCTCTAGTATGAACTATTAAAAACATACACTAAAATAACGCTGTCCAGTCATTATTCAACCAAAATGAGCCATATTAGGCTTCTAATAGCTGTCTTTGATGAATTCTTGTGCATTTTTATATCAGGCTTTCTTCATTTAAGAGGAGTTTACTCCGTATTCAAATACTGGTGGATTTTGAAGTCATTCTGCCTCATTTATCTAATTTGATAATTGATGAAGTCATTAATTATGTGTGGTTTCAGATCCCCTAATTAGTGGCAGCATTTGGTTTCCTTCGAATAGACATTTTTTGATTTCATTCTTATGCTGGATCTCTTTAAAAAGTGGCCACGGTTCCAGCGGTCAACCAATTTTTAGTTGAAATTCACATGCAAGAGCTCTTGGAAATGAAATGCACAGCTGAATTTGTATTCTCACCTTCAGCCCAGCCTCTATGCGATCCGTCCACAGTCTCCAGGTGTCTGTTCAGATCCAGAAAACTCTCCGTTCTGGCTCCACAGCTTTGGAAAGGCTTTCAGAATTCAGTTAAAGCTGCCAACTCTAATATATACTTCAACCATGAAGAAATGACAAGTACTGGCGCTCCGTTATGACTAGTCCCTTCTCCTGACCGAATCCTGCTCCAGAACCACATTCTTAGTAACATTAAAGGAACAGCTCAACCAAAAATGATAATGATTAGGATGAGTTTGTGTCTTCATCAGGTTTGTAGAAATGTAGCATTGCTCTGCAGTGAATGGGTGCCGTCAGAATGAGAGTCCAAACAGCTGATAAAAACATCACAATAATCCACAGCACTCCAGTCCATCAGTTAACATCTGCAGAAGACAAAAGCTGAAACTAATCCAGCATTAAGATGATTTTAACTAAAATACATTGAGTCCATAATCCATAATAACTCTTCCTCCAGTGAAAAAGTGCATCTGCTGTTGTCTCACATCAAAATCCAGCCACATATTAGTTTAGAGCTGTTTAAACGCTGCTTGATCTGTGCAGATTTCTCTCCTGATTCACACCAGAACACTTTTTCACTGGAGGAAGCGTTATTATGGACCACATTTTCACAAAATTCTATACTGCAAAATTACACAGTAAAATAAAATAACAGTTTAAAGATATTGATTATTAAACTACATGTATGCAGATTTGCTTCTTGGGCCAATTTATTTTGTTTTATGGACATTGCTTTTCACTGCAGAACAAGAACTAATTAAGAATTTATAATGCTAGTATGAAATGGAAAAGTTTCACACAAACACAAGTTTATTTATTTTGTTAATAACACACCATAGACGTTTCTGCATTAAAGCCAATCAATATATAGACCTGTATGAAAACCGTGCGCATCACATTCGCATCCAATAGAAGAGCTTGTGGTGGATTCCTTTGACGGCCTGCAGGTGGCGCTGCAGCCACTCTTATACTCTTGATTTCATTTCACATCAAACATTGCTTTACAAACGCTACAAAAACTATTTTTGACTATACAATGTAATTGAAGATATATCATTTTAGTGTGCATTTGAATGCACGTGACCTATAGCCTAAGACAACCTACAACCAAAAGTTTCATTTGTAGTTCTTTCTTTCCTCTCTCAAGCTTGTGTGCGTTGTGTAGCTATCAGAGAGCAGCTGCAGTACCTGGGGCCGCTGGAGCCTCCACCCCTTCCCCTCCAAACACCAGCCCTCCTCTTGCCCATGACTCCTGAACGCTGGGGCTATTCGTCAGTGTTGCAGGGTGGTCCTCCAGGCTGTTCGTCGAGGAGGAGGGAAAGTGCGTGCAGATGCCAGTGAGGCACAGCTGTGCGGCGTCAACGCGCGTCTAAACGCTCCGCAACTCAGAAAAGCGCACTTTCTGAAACTCCGCGTGCAGTTGGAAACTCGCTGAGGACTGGGATATAATCATGCCACACGGTTCGGAGGAAGTCTAGCCAACTTGGACCGAATGCATTTGCAGCGTGTTGCTGTGAAGCGGCTGTTTACGCGGAACAGCACCATGGTCTCCTGTCAACAGGTAAGAGTCCTGACGCACGAGCTGCTGCTCTGAGGGGCCTCCAGCATGTCTGAGGAGAACTGAGGAACCTGTCCTGACCCAACAGAGCTGCGCCAGATCTTCGGGATTATACAGTTTGAATACTATGAGGACTAGACTGAACTGAGTGCAGGCTCCAGAGGGCCGGAGCGGATCATGTGCTGTGGCCGAACTCTGCAGAAACACTGGACCTGAAGAAACTAAGCAGATCTGATCTCTCTTGTGTTGTGACATGATGGCCTCGGAGGTGGTGTGTGGACTCATATTCAGATTGCTCCTGCCAGTCTGTCTAGCCGCAGGTGAGGCTTGCTTTACTTTACTTGAACAGAAATGCGCAAAGATACGAGCAGAATTGGCTTTAATATGTTTATCAAACCCATATAAATTTGGTAATTTCATTAAAAAGAAAGAAAGGAATATATTTTATTTATTCTTAAATAATATTAATAAGTATTATTTGAAATATATTTATATTAATTTTAATTTTATATAATTAAGTTAATTTACTATATATTAATAACAATTTAATATTTTACTCAATTCCCTAATATACATTTTTTATGGTTATTAAATACGGTTATATATATATATATATCATTATTATTATTAATAAAATTAGTAAAAAGAAAATTAAATGAACAGATCTTTTAAAATAATAGAACAAATAATTTTTACTATTTCAAAATATATATTTATTTAAATGTAATGTTAAATTAATATTAATATAAACATTTTCACTCATATTTAATAATGACTATCAGTGTAATTATTAATTAGTAAATTAGAAAAAATATGATTATAAATGGTAATAGATGTGGCTTATTGAATGAGATCTGGCATTTGTATGGTATTATTCAGTTAACAGTCATTTTAGTCTATTTTGTGATTATTATTTAAAATCTCTCATCAACATCAATTTCTACACACTGAAGCTTAACTGTTTAGGACTGTAAATAACAGAATACATTATCATCTAAGCATACGCTTCATCATAAGCTTAACTTTCAGTTTATTCTTTAAATAAAATCATGATGCATGTTGCGATTTTTTGTACAGCGTCTAATAAGATAAACCTGTCAAGTTTATATGTTCACAAGGAGTCGCTGAATGCTCTTTTCATATACACGAGAGAAGTAATCAGTCTCCAGTTCTGCAGTTTTAGAAAAGCCATCGGTTATTATGATACTATTATTAATCAATTATGATTGATTCATCGATCGTTTGCACTTCACAGACAGTTCTTTTACCAAGTGGGCCAAAGGTCAACAATATAGGCAAAATTCATTTAACTTTATTAAATAATAAAAATAATAGCATTATTATTTTGAGCTCTTGTAGCTTTCATTGTATTGCTGTTTTTGCTTTTGATTGGTGCTTGCAGTTTGATGTTGGTTTTTTAATTTTTTTGTGTTGAGCGGCTTTTCATCTGAGATGAGTAATGCAGCACTCGGTGTTCGTCCAAACACGCTGTCCAGCTAAAGTAAGCTTGAGTCTGATAGCCGAGAGACAGACAACAGAGCTTCTGTCTATCAGCGTCGAGCAGCTCTTCCTCTCTCACAGAGATCACAGACAGAGTACTTTATATTTACACTCTCAGTTGTCTGTTTTTGAGCGAAACGCCTTCTTCTGCTCCTCTGCGTCCTGATGGTGTTGCCTGTCTGTCGAACATCTGCCTCTCATGACTCATGCACAGTGTTTTCACAGATATGAGGGCTTGAACTTCTTAAGAGCGTTAACAATCGAGATCTCTGCTTTCCCACAGCCCACTGGTACGCCCCATTCTTCAGTAACACCAAAGACTGTTTATTTGTGATAAAACGCCCAACTGAAACCAGATCAGAGAGAGAACAGTCAGCCTACAGAACACAGAGCTGTTTCAAACCTACCTAATCAGCAACATAGACGTTGGCGATAAAATGATGTTGCTTTTTGAGATAACTCGTATTGTAAGGCAGTAACACTTCATGGTGATCCCAGAATGCATTGCAACAAGCTCGTTGGCTGGTTTAAGCTGGACAAAGCGGGGGCTGGTTGCATAAACGTTTTAGACCTAGTCTTAAAAGTTAGTCATATTTTTTTTTTCTTTAAGCCTGGTCATATGCATTTAATTCTGTTACATAAAAGCATAGATTAGTCTGCATTGAATCCAAAAAAATAAGACTTGGCTAACTGCTAGTTGGTCAGACTAGTTCTGAAGACACAGTCTTAACACAGACGCTAAGTTTATGCAGCTGGCAACCTGGTGTTCAGCTGGTTTTAGCTGGTCTCCCAGCCTGAGACCAGCTAAAGAAATGGTCAAAAATCCTCTAAAACCAGCTGCAACCAGGCTGGAAGACCAGCTTAAACCATCTTAGGCTGGTTTCAGTAGTTTTTCTCAGCAGGAATCAGTTCTAAAATCAAAAAAAGATCAATATTCCATTTGATTTGAACGATCGATTTCGCCCAAAATCAAAACATATGAAGAAAAGGTTATATTCAGCTCAGATGAAGTGTTTTACCTAATAGTTGTGCGTGCATGTTTTTTTTTAGAGTATTGTGTCTTTAGCTTAGCAGCATGCTAACGAACGTTACTGTAATCAGCTGTGAGAGTGTTTCAGTTCAGTTATTTGAGATGTTTCATGAGGGTTGCTCATACAGAATGCATTTTTGTATTCCACGTAACTGCTTTTCTATTGTTTCTTTGTAAACATGCACTAGCTGGACGTCTTTGACTACTGTGTTCATGTCTCGCGTCTCTTGCACACATGACGCAGCATTTTTACTGGATACGATTGAATCGAACAGCAGAAATAAACACCACAGCAGCGGTCCCTGAGTTTCCCCTCAATAAACTCCTTATTTGCTGCTTATTAATAGTTAGTAAGGTAGTTGTTCGGTTTAGGTATGGGGTGGATTCTAGATTAAGGGATCTAGAATATGGTCATGCAAAATAAGGCATTAATATGTGCTTTATAAGTACTAATTAAACAGCAAATATGCTGGT